TTCTCCAGATCGCTCCCAAACGCACCTGTATCACATTCACTTACTCTGAAAATGGAGGCGTACAGTAAAACATTCACAAATAATCTAGAAACTTTATTCAACACTTTATTCAATCTCTGTTTCAGATTAAATCTATTCTTTATTCAATTATTTCTATAATGTTCTGTACTGTCAGCATCTTTAATCTAAGCTATAGAAATAGAAACAGTTGTAATGGCGTTATGTTATTAGAGTCTCTAATCTATGCTGATGTGTGATTTTACAGCAGCCTGACTTTCTGTACAGATATTTGCAAACTTAATCTTATTCAGTTCTCTGACTGTGTCTTGATCTTGTTTTCTTTGACGCTCCTCCTTCTTCCTCTGGAGGTCCACTTGATGTGCAACATTGTCAATATAGAGGCTTATTGTCATACTCCCAAGACCAATAACTTCATCCAGTTTGTGTCTCACTGGCAGAGGCAGTCCTGCCTGTATCTTAGCTCTCAGGATCAATCGTTCCCAGTGGTTCACTTCCGGGTCTTCTCCAGTAATGTTTTTCCACGTCTGATACGCTCTGGACACATATACTCTTTCATTCTCTTCTGGTCCCAATGGTTCAATCAGGACATTATCAGGATGTATGTGTGTAGGAAACATCTCCTTCAAAGCTTTCCACACTTTTCCTCTGTTACAGGCAAAAAGATCTGCATCATTTACTGATGTCTTCATATAGTGATGTAGTTCAGCTCTCTGTAAGATTTCCTCCATGGCCACAACACCCAGGAGTGTCGCAAACAGTCTCTTGATGTCACCCATTGCAAGACTTGTCCACACAGAAATCTCTTCTAGTTTCGAAATCCAAGGATGTGCTCCATCTTGGATCATGGGCAGCTTCTCCATGACCTCAGACAGATCTGTGTTCTTCCATGGTCTGTACTCCAGGTCTCCTCCACAGACCACTACAGGACACATTTTATTAATTGGTTTGATTCTTCTCGATCGTACTTGAAAAGACATTGGTGTTAATAACTCTTCACCTCTAACTTCTGTGTGCTCTCGAAGTGGATTTTCTTGAGTAAATGCAGTCAGCTGTGAATATGAATCTGAGTGTTTCAGAGTGTCCTGAGTCTGTGGTTCATGTTTATGTGAGAAATGTCCATCACTGCTCATCGTTACTGTCCCAGCTTTCTTGATGTCTTCGTTTCCTTTGTTTCAGTGTTTCAAAAGTTTCTTTGCCACAACTTCAAACAACTCAAGTGTCCCAAGTTCAATCTGACGTTTCTCTTTCCTCTTTCGACCTCTACGACCTTTGTTCTCTTCTGATTTGTATGTAGAGATTAGGACTTTGAGAGTTTTGATAACTTCGATAGAAAACGTCCCTTCAATTGGCCAGCAACAGTCCATGTCTGACCACTGATGATGCCATTTTTTCGAAATTTTACTGATATTGTCCACAAGTGGATTATTTGTCTGTACCACTTCTATTGGTGTAATAATTTTATTCAAACTTGGTTTAGAACTGTTCACGTCCATTTTGCAAAGCACTGTAAAAACCGCGCAATTAATTAAAATATAACAGTCAAATTCGATTACTCCCTAAATGATTTAAGTTCACCCCTAATTAAATTATTTAATCAGAGATTAAACAACACCATCCTATTTTTGGCTCAATAGCTTTAACCCAATTGTAAGTCAATAAACTATTACCCTTTTCTCTTTTAATTTATTTTATCGACTAATGCTATTTTACTTCATAAGTACTGTAATTTTAACCTGTTAGTGGTAATCTATTACTCTATTCTATTATTTAAGTCTAAACCAGACAGCAACAAAATGCAACCTTTTTGGGATTCCTAAAAGTGAATAAAACCAGAACCAGCTCAGTCAGTTGCCAAAGTCCTGTGTCACTTGTAACAGATTATTGTGTGTAATGATGTCATCTTACAAACAAGTGCATCATGGGAAACATTTGTGGATAGAATACACTGCACCTGATGAAGAGCAGCTTTCATTGGATCTGTTGAATGGAGGAAGGTCGTCTTTTTCTCCTCTGGACCCAGCTCTGGTCAAACACCTTTGCTCTCGTTCAGCACAAAAGAGAGAAAAAACAAAACTTCAGTTTGAGTTCATCATAAACATCAAATCAAAAGTGACACATTAGTGTAAATCTAACTATCAAACTCATAATGTCATTCTGAACATTGATTATTCCTGTAACTAACACTAAGTTTTATGCTGAGATATTTAACACATAGAGCTATTCTATTATCCTCACTCCTTAGTATAACATAATACAGCAGCAAAAAGCCTTATGACAAACACTTTCAAACATTTTCTCTTTTACATAACTCCACCCCTGTGAGTAGTCACTACACAAAGGAAAAAATGTGAATAAAATAAACTTCACACACACAAAAAATGACTAGTCTCACTCTCACAAAACAAACAAAACCAAAAAAAACAAATAATACTTACACTTATAACAAAAGTGTCCACTTGTGCTCACAAAATACCAGCTTTTGTGATCGCAAGCAACAAAAATAAAAAATCCTTAACCCAAAAATCTAAACTAACCTGTTGGGAGTCTTGTTTAATATCAATCTAAGACTGTTAAAATCAATGAATTTTACATTCTTTAATTTTAAGCAAATTGCAAAATGGTTAACCATATAATCTTATTACCAAATTATTATCACCAGTGAAATATTTGTCACTGGTTCCACCCCTTTTCATTATTTCCGTTAATGCCACAAGCATTAATCAACATAACGAGTATTAGTCAGATTTTAGCAGAATGGGAGACAAGGGAAGGAAAGGCTGCTCCAGCAGAGCAGGAGGGAGGGGCTGCTCCAGCAGAGCAGTGAGGGAGGGGCTGCTCCAGCAGAGCAGGAGAAGAAAGAGGAAAACTGTGTTGAGTTTGCAGAAAGGAGGCAAACTCACTCACACTTCAGGCCTTTATCTAAACTTCACTGTACAGTCAATTCAAAGAACACATTTTAATCCAAATTAGTCAGACTTTGTCCTGGGCCTCAGGTAACACTATTTAAGAATCTAAATTTAGCTTGAATTCATTTTCTAACTGATGGATCATAAATGAAAGCTATTGTCAATTCATCATGGCCATGAAACTGACAACAATAACCACGTCCATAAAACTACTGCCAAGGCTTTTAGAGACACCATTTTAGACACACTATAGACTCACTAGACACTCATTTAACAATGTTCAACAAACTTCTGGCAAGGTTTAAACTAAAAAATAAACTGGAAAAACCCTGAACTTCTTCTTTCATAAACACACTCTCTGTGTGTCTCTATCTCTGTCTCTACGTCTCTCTCCCTTCTGTTCCTACGCGCCTCGCTCGATGACTCTATACGTCTCTCTCCTTTCTGTTCCTACGCGCCTCGCTCTATGACTCTACGCCTCTCTCCCTTCTGTTCCTACGCGCCTCGCTCTATGACTCTACGTCTCTCTCCTTTCTGTTCCTACGCGCCTCGCTCTATGACTCTACGTCTCTCTCCCTTCTGTTCCTACGCGCCTCGCTCTATGACTCTACGTCTCTCTCCCTTCTGTTCCTACGCGCCTCGCTCTATGACTCTATACGTCTCTTTATGTCTCACTGTCTCTGTTTCTACTTTTTATCTGTATCTTTATCTCTGTCTCTAGTTCTCTGTGTCTCTGTGTGTCTCTGTGTCTCTCTGTGTCTGTGTCTCTGTGTCTCTCTGTGTCTGTGTCTCTGTGTCTCTCTGTGTCTGTGTCTCTCTGTGTCTGTGTCTCTGTGTCTCTCTGTGTCTGTGTCTCTCTGTGTCTGTGTCTCTGTGTCTCTGTCTGTGTCTCTGTGTCTCTCTGTGTCTGTGTCTCTGTGTCTCTCTGTGTGTCTCTGTGTTTCTCTGTGTCTCTCTGTGTCTCTGTGTCTCTCTGTCTCTATCTTCTATTCTAACGTAACTTATTTGAAAGAAAAAAAAATATATATATATATATATAAATAAACTGAGTTTATTATTCTCAAAAGCGTTACCTTTGTGAACAATAAACTAAAACAAACTAAACCAAATTTAGACATTTAAACCCTTCCAACACTAAACTGTGATTCCGGAGCAAACCAACAATACAGCACAAAGAAGAAAAGATTTTAGTGAAATCTCACCCTTTTAGAAAGCCGGCATCTCTTTTCTCCAGTCTGCTATTCGCTGCTCTGCTTCCGCTTCAGGTCGAGTCGCCAAATTGTGGCCCAAAGCCACCTAAAAAATGTGTCGTCTTTAAAAACTGCTCTGACAGCCCAAAACTGCCGTCGTGACGCCAAAATGTTGTATCTTCTTCTCTGCAGAAGATGGGGTTTCCCGCACAAACCAGTATAGTGTTGGAGAAGGTATGCACTCTGAGTTATGTATTAAAGAAAGAGTTTAATGGCATAATCAGAATACATCAAGTCCAATTCAGGCCTAGCGCTTTCAGCCTGGGTCAGCTCCGAGAATGAGGATGGTATGAATGACAAAGAACACATTAAGCACAGAGCTCTTCACAAGGGCATGATGTCATAAATACTTGTCATTCAATAATTCCAGATGTCCTAAGACACAATTATAACCAAACATGCATCCACAGGACATAGATGTGCAGTCTAATGGCACAGACGCTGCCAAGATGCAGCTGCGGGTTTTATTGTCTCCAATGTCACATTGGCCTTATGATTTAGATAAGTGACTTCCTGCCATTGCGTGCTCACATTATCCCAAAACACAATTTTACACATATGAAGATACATACATACTTTATGTTTATGTAGAATTAAAGAATATTAATACTAGCAGACACAACAACTGCTCTCTTGTTGGCGCTGGCGTCTGCCAAGAGGGCGGGCGACTTGTGTGCGCTCTCCGTCCATGCGTCTTGCCTATCCTTTGGAGGGGGTGACGGTCTGGTGGAGTTGTGGCCCAATCCGGCTTTTCTCCCTAAGGTCATCACTTTGGCCTTCAGGTCGAGAATGATCAGGATTAGGGCTTTCCATCCACCGCCGCATGCCTCGCCGGAGGAGGAGCGGCGGCACCTTCTGTGTCCTGTCAGAATGCTTAGGCGTTACCTGGCCATGACATCTTCCTTCAGGTTGGGTGGTCAGCTGTTTGTGTGTCTGGGCCCCAAGAACAGGGGCGCCCCGCTGTCGTCTCAGCGGCTGGTGCACTGGGTCGCCACGGTTGTGCGGTTGGCGTATCAGACTCAGGGCCTGGCCCCCCCGGTGGGCTTCAGGTCGCACTCCACGCGTGGGGTGGCGGCCTCTACGGCCCTCCTCAGGGGGGCTTCGGTCGAGGACGTTTGCCGTGCGGCTTCTTGGGCTTCGTCCTCCTCTTTCGTCCGGTCTTACCTTTTGGATGTGTCGGACCGGTCGGTGGCCCATTCCGTGCTTGGTGCAGCGGACTGAGTTGAAACCGTGAGTTTCCTCATCTGAGGGGGACTACGGTTTGGTTTTGTCCGCCCTGGTTCAGGAGCTCTTGGGAGAGTCGTCCTGAAGGTGCGGTGTGTGTGTGCTTTCTCTGTCAGTTAGGTAGTCCACGTCAGGAGCTCTTGGGAGAGGCGTCCTGGGACTACGGGTGACTTTCGGTCGGTGTTACTTGGGGGTGTCCTTGGGAGGAGCGGCCCCGTAACACGCAATTGGTTTTCTTCTGCCCTGAGTCTTCTCACTGTGTGAGAGTCTTGCTCGGGCGGAGCTCCAATCACTCTTCGCTGGCCTGCTGGGAGAACATGTTCCTACGGCCTCCGCGTTGTGTCCCACTAGCGAAGTCCTAAGGGACGTAGCACCATGACGTAGAATTAGTAGTTACTTATGTAACTACTAATTCTACCTATTCTACGAATAGGTGCGTAGTCCCTTAGCTACGAACCCATCAGGCCAACCCGGCTTGGCAGAGTTCAAGAGGGGGCGCGGCCTTGTGCAGGGGCTTTTATAGATCAATATATATTTGATCTCTCTGGCGTGTGACCTGGGAGTCACGTGATATCCCACTAGCGAAGTCCTAAGGGACTACGAACCTATTCGTAGAACGTAAGTTAAATAAGTAACTACTAATTACACGCCTCGGAAAAAGACTAGGTCATAAGGCGGGTTTAAAGTATAGACTGTATACACACCAGCCCGTGTCGCTCAGTGAAGGGGGCTAGGTCAAAATTCCTGTGTATCTGCACAGTGGGACTGAGGCTGTATGGACTATTAAAAATATTGACGTGTGTGTGTGTGTGTGTGTGTCAGCGAGGAGGACGGCTGGCGTGTTAAGGGCATCTCCACGCTACACATCCAGCATGTGCACCGAGGCCTCCTGAACCGGCGCATCGTGTGCCGCGTGCAGACGCCTGTGGGGGACGACCAGGGCTGTGTCTGGCTCACACAAGGTACCACACAAGCTCGCGCACGTGTTGACACACTCATAGACACACACACACAAAGACACATGCACACACACAAGTAACGATAAAAAATACACATACGTCTGTGTGTTGAAAATGTATATCAACTAAAACCATGAGACGTGTTTGTGACAAGGTCGTTCTGACAGAGACAACTTATCTCCAGGAATAAGACAAACATGTACAAGCATAGACTAACTTTAGCGGTGTCTAAATCCGAGTGAGTTAGAGACAGGAATGAGCGCTATGTATGAGATGGACGCTCTTCTGTGTGTGAGGAAGAGAAGCAGCGACCCCTGTGTGAGTGGAGGTGGAGGAGGAGGAGGAGGAGGAGGAGGAGGAGCGAGACACAGGTGTGTGAGCTGCTTTTGCTGATGTTTAGTCCGAAAGTACACATCAAAAATGTATTATAAAAGCTTTAGCAAACAGCGCATATCCAACTTTAGTGCTCACTGCGAGTGCAGTGGATTTTGGGCATAAAAAACGCACGTTGTGGTCAGAGTGTGTGGAGGCAATGACAGAAACGTTATTTGATGGGAAAGAAGTTTTCCCTTATCCTCCACAATGAACATGTGTTGCTTCAGCTTTTGTATTCAGTCATTATTCAATGGTAAACTAGAAATCCATGTGAACAAAATTAGTTCTCTGGTCAAATATTTATATGCAATTAATTAATTACAAAGCCTCTAATTAGATTATTTTTTTTAAACGAGTCCCAGCCCTAATGTGTTGTTGTAGTGTGATGATTGTGTTGTTTCAGTGTGATGATTGTGTTGTTGCAGTGTGATGATTGTGTTGTTGCAGTGTGATGATTGTGTTGTTCCAGTGTGATGATTGTGTTGTTCCAGTGTGTTGATTGTGTGTTGTTGCAGTGTAATGATTGTGTGTTTTTCCAGTGTGATGATTGAGTTGTTTCAGTGTGTTGATTGTGTTGTTCCTTAGGGTTGCCAACTGTCCCTTAAAATTTGGAATTGTCCCGTATTTTAGAAAAACTATGAGCGTCCTGTATTGAATTGTTGCGGGGCTGCTTTTTCCCCGTATTTTCAGAGTCGCCTTAAATGCATCACTCACTCACTCACTGCATGTCACACACGCACAAACAGTAATCACAGTTTAAGTGTCTACCTTTCAGCCAATCAGTGTCAAAGGGGACGTACGCCCACAGGATCATCATGGCAGAAGTTTGGTAAAGTTAGCGTCAGATTCAGACTTCCGAGGTCAATAGCTCACAAAAATTACTTTGTTGAACAAAAGTAATTGTGCCAAAATGATGAAATTTACATTGATTGTTCAAATCATGTCTAACTGCTTCAGACTTTGATTTCAATTTGTGAGGTTTTTATATTTTAAATGATTACATGTTTTATTTTTTTTAAATGCTTTTACAGTAAATGGTCTTTACTGTAACATACATAAAAAATGTATGTTACAGCATTTCTCTTTTTATATTTTTTATGACTAATAAGAATGCATTAAGTCCTTAACCTTTTTACAACAACCGGCGCGCCGGCGGCCGTTTTTATGTTTTTAAATGTTCTGCTGGCAATAGCAGATGTATTTTGAACACCAAACCCCAAAAGCTGTATATCATTTTAAAGCTTATTTTCTTATCTACATTTATATACAAGTGTGAACTACATCAGACTTTGCATTCAAAAGATATAACACATAATGTGGGCACAAAATAAATCAATTCCGAAATAGTTTTTTATCTTTGGGCTTGTGCTGTACAAATAAATCAGCTCTCCTCCCAGCTTGCAATACATCATTCTCTCTGGAACAGTCCAAAGGAAAATTATATCCACTTGTATTTCCCAAAGTAAAATCCATTCTGCAGAAATAATCCAAAAATGTGCATTTATCTTTAGCGAAAAAAACGAAAAAAAAGAGCACAGATGTTACTCTTTCACTTTTAACGGACTTTTAGCTTTGTTTTTCACCCAAACATCTGGTATCCACGTGTTCCTTAGCTCCTTATCTTTCAAATGAGACTACTCCCGAAAAGCTAGACCAATTTTTGGGTCTGCAAGAGGTCCCGTAAGTACAGCTTGCGTTGCTGTTTGCGCATGGATCACTGATCTTTTGTGGGGTCCCAACTTGTTTGCTTTTACTTCCGGGATTTACGATTGACATGTCCTTGTAGCCAATGAGGAACGCTTTCAAACAAGGAGTGGGACAATGGTGTCCTGTCTTATGTTGGGCCTGGACAATTGTGCGTAATGGAAGCCAAAAGACGCTCTCGAAGCTGCAATGAATTTACACTTATAAAAAAATAACTTTGACATTTAAAAAAGAAAAACACACATAGATTAGTAACTTATAAGTACCAATAATAAAAAATATCGTTTTTATGATGATTAAATGTAAGTAAAGATATTTGGCACAATTTGGCACACTTGTGCCAAATTGTGCCAAATGTGCACTACTTGATGAAAAGGAGAGACTGCATAAAAACTATAAAACTTAGAAGTCTGAAACTTTAGACAGTTGTTGTCAACAACACAATGACCACAGGGTTTTAATATTGTGAACTTACAATGAAGTATGCCTTTTTTAGGGCCTTTAGAAATTGAAAATGTTAGGCGAGGCTAAAAAAATTGGGTTTTTTTCCCTAACTTCAAAGGATGCAGAGGAAAATAGGAATGACAAACATTAATTTAGTGTTTTTTTACATAAACTAGAAGGCTCTTTAAAATGATGCATCACACAAGCATGTGAGATGTAAGATGTGTTTTTAAATAAGCAAAGACATTTGGGTATGCCCAACTTTTGTGCACGAGCCAAAATGTGGCGGGTTTTAACCAGCCAAAGAGTTGCACCTGTTTTTTTAATTTCATTTTTGACTAAGGATTTTTTTTTATATGTAGAAAATAAATTAAGTTCTAAAAACTGCAATTATGAAATTCCATGATTCCTGTGTAGATTGAAATTAGGACAATAATTGCTCAACCCGATCCACCCAAATGATGTCCCTTATTTTTCTGTTCTCAAGTTGGCAACCCTAAGTGTGATGATTGTGTTGTTCCAGTGTAATGATTGTGTTGTTGCAGTTTGTTGATTCTGTATGTAAGTAAGTAAGTAAGTAAGTAATCTTTATTTATATACCGCCTTTCACAGACCAGAGTCACAAAGCGGTTTACAATTGTTATTACTTCTAAACTAATATATGTTGTTGCAGTTTGTTGATTGTGTTGTTCCAGTGTGTTGATTGTGGGTTTTTCAGCATGATGATTGTGTTTTTCCAGTGTGTTGATTGTGTTGTTCCAGCGTGATGATTGTGTTTTTCCAGAGTGATGATTGTGTGTGTTGTTGCAGTGTTTTGATTGTGCATGTTGTTCCAGTGTGATAATTGTGTGTGTTCCAGCGGAGGTGGGTCCCCTGCAGCGAGCCTTGGAGTGGTTCCTGGGTCCCTGCCTGCTGCTGCTGCTGCTGTCGGTGTGTGTGTACTGCTGTAGGCTGGAGCTGCTGCTGCTGTATCGAGACCTGAGGACACGTTTCAGGACAGGGCACCAGGGTAACACGCACGCAAAAACAACACACACACACACACTAAATACATACGAACACACACACACATATATACCAAACACACATAACACACTGAAACACTCACTAAATATGCACACACACAACACACACGCACAAACTTTTACGACTAACACGCATTAGAAGACCGGAGGTGGAGGTGGTCAACACTTGTTCACCAACAGCAAGAACTTGGGATCATAATCCGTTATCCACCCAAGCACAGTGCAAAGTTTTACTTTTTTTTTGTTTAATTTTGAGACGGATGTGATTGGTATATGTCCCAGTGTTGTGTCAGATTATCTTGTGTGTGGAGCTTTAGGACAGTGACATTTTTTTTTTTTTTTAAATGTGTTCAAACTTTAGGACAAAACTGTAAAACCTCTTCTTGGAATATGCAGCACCAGTAACAATCTGCCTGAAGTGAATAGTTAGACCTTTGGAAAGAGACCTCAGGATGATGATAGCTGTCTATCATGGATTTGAAATTATTGGGTCCAATCAGGAACTTTTGGGGGCAGGTCTAAATTCAGCTTGAAAAAAAAAATCTCTCTCATCTTCATAAATCAACACATCCTTCTGGTGGTAGAAGTGTGGAATGACATGCTGAGATCTCTGTAATCCTTTATACTGTACATACTTACCCGTATGAAATTATTTCACTTTCTAAAATCAAAGTAAATAACTGCAATAACCAGGAATAATGTAATGAAATGTCTTATTTTAGTTATTTGTAAATGTGTGTGTGTCAGTGCCATGTGAGAAGCTGTATGACGCAGTGGTGACCTGTGTCATACAGTCCCCGAGCGGCCTGGCCCCGTCTGAGCTCAGCCACTTCAGCCAGCAGCTCCTCCCGCGGCACCTGGAGGACCACTGGGGCTACAGACTGTACATCCAGGGGAGAGATGACTGTCCTGGAGAGGGTGAGCACCATTCATGAGCACACCCACGGGGGGCACCCTGACATGGTTTCAAGTAGAGCTGACTATTGTCATTCCATTTCATTTTTTATTTATTGTCATTTAGTCATTCACAGTCATTCCAGTTTAAATCAAAATAAACACAATAACATAATTAAGTCTGTGCATGACCCGGCACAGGCTGAAGCCAAAGCTTATTGTGCCTAACCTTATCATTTCCACCAGCCCTACTGTACTGTACTGAACTGTACTATACTCTACTGTACAGTACTCTACTGAACTGTACTGAACTGAGCTATACTGTACGGTACTGTACTGAATTGTACGGGACTCGAGGGCTGGGCGATATGGCAAAAAAGTAAAATCTCGATTTCATTTCCTGCTTTGGACAATGTCGATTTTATATCGATTTTCATTAAAGTCACTCAAGACTGACTTTGCCCTTAAAATATTTTTTATCTTCCCGCTCAATATTTAAGTTTCAAAACAATTTTTTATTTGTTTCCCCCAATACGTATTATAAAAGTCTTGTACAGACTGTGCTGATATCGCAAGTATAATTGATGTGCTGCTGGAACTCTCACAATATTCACATTTTTCACGAATTCGATTTTTTCAAAAGCCGATTAATTGCCAAAATTCAATTTATTGCCCAGCCCTACTGGACTCTACTGAAATGTACTCTGCTCTGCTCTACTCAACTCGACTGTACTGTAACTCTACTTTACTCTACAGTGTGGTACTCTACTTGGCTCTGCTGTACTCGACTCGATTCTACTCTACTGTAGTGTACGGTACTCTCCTCTGCTCTATTCTACTGTACTCTATAGCACTTTTTTGGGCACGCAATGACGGTTGGTCTGGCCTCTGACCAAACCAGCCATCTTTGAGTGCCCAACAAAGTGGTATTTAAACCTATACATTTATTGTCTGGTAGAGTAGAGTAGTAATATTGGTAGGAAACAGGCCTGATCCATAACCTTTCTGTTTCATAACAAATGTATAACCAACGTTTATAAGGATGGGATGGATTGTTTCAGTAAAGAGGTTCTCACTGAAACACTTTTAGACTGACTGTGGACGGTGTAGAATTGTATGTGTCCTGAGTGTAGTGTTTGTGTTGCAGCCCTGCACGACGCCCTGTCAGCTGTGGTGCAGAGCAGTCGCCGCCTGCTGCTGCTGCTGTGTGGCTCCGATTCTCTGGGGGCGCCACCTCTGAGCCAGGAGCTGCAGCCGCTGTGCTACGAGCAGAGCGTAGGGCTTTACGACGCACTGACGCACAGGGAGCCACGGGTTGTGCTGATTGAGATATGTGAGTCACTGCTACTGCTGCTACTGCTGCTGCTGCTACTACTGCTACTACTACTACAACTACTGCTACTACTAATGCTACTACTACTGCTATTACTGCTGCTGCTACTGCTACTACTACTTCTACTAAAACTGCTGGTACTGCTACCGCTACTACTAATGCTACTGCTATTACTACTACTACTGCCGCTACTGCTGCCTCTAATACAACTTGTTGATTTGAATGCACTGGAAAACGGCAGCACGTCCTAGCAGCTCTGAAGATATTATACTCTACAACCGGTATTTTTCTTACTTTTTCTAGCTGTAGATTAATTTTATTCCAGTACAGTGTTTATGGTTTTCCACTGATCCAGAGCAAAGAGGATGCACGGTCCAAAACAAGCAGATCAAGTGTAAATCAAGTGGAGGAAAGCAAATATTTTCAAGAAATGCACTGGCAGGATTTCACAAAGTTCTCGCGAGATGAGCTCCTTCGGCTACGACGAAGTCCATGGGGGATACAATGCAATACAATACAATTTATTCTTGTATAGCCCTAGGTCACAACGGAAGTCATCTCAGAGGACTTAACAAAACCATTGAAATCACCAACACAGGTCAGAGAATCAACAGTTAAAACAAATGAAAAATAGAAAGCACACACAGAAGAAAATGTCCATACATGTTGTAGAATGCTAAAGTGTCCTGATCATCACCAATCCACCAACGTCGGACTTTTTCCGCCCAACGTCATTACCACCCGCGTGAATAACAATTCGACGGAAACGCTGCTTGTGGGTCATCATGAGCCTCAGATTCCCTTCAATATCACCAAGCCTGGCCCCAAGGAAGCACCGAACAGTGGCTCCTGGGATCTTAACACCTCTAACAATAGAGTAGCAAATTACCAGCGCATTAGCGACTCCATCGGCTCTCTCAGCAGCTCTCTCAGCGGCTCTCTCAGTGGGGCCTTCTTCCCCGCCCGGCCGCGCGGGGGCGCAGCTGGACAGAGCGTCCCAGCGATTGTAAATGCTAACAGGAGGAGGCCCAATGGGGAAACTACCAACAACACGTCGCCCTCTCCGAACAGTCACAAAGCCATCACTATCCTGGTCTTGTCCCAGCTGCGGAGGACGGGCTGGGAGGCTAGGCTCGCTAGTTCTCCTCTGCCTTTCCCTAAAGCTGCGCTCCGCTGTCCCTGAGGATACGGCCTGGCCGTAGCTAATGCTAGCGCTAGCTTAAGACTCCAGTGCTCCGAGACGCAGCTCTAACTCACTGATTCTGGATTCCAGAGCTACGACTACACTACACTTCACACATCTATCACTACCCTCAGAGAAGGATCCAGGGTTTAGACCAGGGGTGCCCAAAGTGGGGCCCGCGGGCCAAAGTTGGCCCGCTGGACCATTTCAGTTGGCCCGCCAAACATTGCCCACCTCCGCTGTAAGATTCTGTCTGCGTCCCTCAACCTCGCTGAACAAACAGTGACATGTCTGAGATTGCGCGTGCGCTCAAACACTATCTGAACAGACACTGTCCAGTACTTCACTGTTGTATCGAGATACACTCCTCACTCATGGTTCACATCTACTTGCACTAAAATGTTTTTTAAAATCAAACACATCTTTCAAAACAATTGGGTGCAAGGCACCTTTATGTTCTTTTTTTTCAGCCTACTATTATAATTTTTTTGAGCAATTTAATGTTTTATCAAATTCAGAGGATTGTGCTGGCGAACTGCCACTCCCCCTCCTCACCGGAGGGAAATGGCGAGTGGAACTATTCACCTGCGCAATCCGCACCCACCCGGTGTGTTAAAAAAGACGGACACACACACTTCAGAGTGAGGCCCAGTCCCAATACCCACACTGCACCCTACACACCTCTATGAAGTGTGCATTTGTCTGAAGTGCACACCAGGGTTGGAGTGCGTAGGTTACAAGTGTGCAAAAAAGGCAGAATTGGGACAGTGCACACTGAGTGCAGGTTACGTCATCGACTCGTCAAGAGATGGTCATTTTCAGACCTAAACTTTATAAACATTAAAGGTAATTTTGTCTGACCCTTTGGGAAACAAATTGAATTGCTTCTCACACGTTAAAATACATGTATATTAGTTGTTTTTAATTAGAGATAGCTGTATAATTTTAAGTTAAATGTGGGTAACTAACTATCTGGTCAATTTTTATACATTCTAAGATTATTGTACTAGCTAAGTGTAAAGTTTAAATAGAATGTTATATAAACGCTTGCTTTAAGATGTATTAAATTGTTAAAACACAATGTCCGTAATTCTTCATCAGACGTTTATGCTTCTTTCCAAGTAACATAGCAAAACTTATTTACACACATACTGTATATATTTTTCAAAATTTGCATTTTCCCGACGTTTTGGTGTGTACCGCAAAGAACTATGGGCAATATCCTTCGCCAGAGTGCGCATAGATGCAGGCTACGGCGAAGTGTGGATCAGGGGCGCAAAGGGGGCGTGGCCAAAGACCTCCCTGGAGAATTGGGACACCCTACACACTCGCACACTTTATCGGGAACGCGCAAATGAGGGGCGCGAGGGTGGAAGTGCGAGTATTGGGACGGGGCCTGTGTTCAAGCAGGACAAGCAGGGATCGCAGCGCACGATCCACGCAAGTAGAAGTAACAAATACTGTGCAAAACAAACCCTTCTACTACCCCATGAAAGAAGCCGGTAAGCGCCGTCCTCACTCGCGATCATTGAGTGTCAGAACTTACGCGGAGTTTTATGATGCGTTCAAGAGCCCTTTGGAGGAGCGGAAACACGGACTCTTTAACAGTTACTTTGTTTTGATTGTTTATAAATGTTGTACTGTGTTTAGGCAAAACAAAACAAACTCTAGGAACAAATCAGGGTTAACTAGTCTGATTTCGTTAGTTTAATATTCAGTTCACTACTAATTGAGAATACTTGCCCTATGTTAAAAATATTAAGTTAAAACAGAGTTAAAACCTGATCATGTTTAGAAAATGCAGTTAGCAATTATGTTCCCAAATTCATTACTTAATGTTTAAATGTATCGTTTAAAAGTGTGCTAAAACCAGATCTATTGATCAGTGATGTCTCCCCTTTTTGATAAAAGCTAAGATAAAGTAATATGATTCAAATGTAGTTAAAAACTTTTGTTCAAAATAAATATATGAAAATAGACTTTACTTTTGTAAAGTAAATGTCCTTTGCTAGTACAATAAACCTATACATTATAAATCACTGTACTATAGGAATGCAAAACTGTTTAGAAAAAGGTCTTCAACAAACAGTTTACTGACATGAGCAGGTTAAAATATAGATTATTTAATTTAATCTTTCCGTACTGTAGTCTCCTCAAACCTGCATATTTCCCAGGAGCCTCCATTTCACTAAGACTGTGTTGATTTCATTCATTCAGCTGTGATTTGCACTGATAGACAATAATTAATGCATTTAATTGAACTTGATCAAATCTACATTTATTTGTGTTTCATGCGTAATATCGGTGTATTTGGCCCGCGGCCGACCGGCAAATTTTTACTTTGGCCCTTGGAAGCAAAAGGTTTGGGCATCCCTGGTTTAGACCATAGATTGTATATAATAACGGGCAGAGTCACGCCTATCTCCGCCGTTCATAGGAGTTGGCCATGAAAAGTGCTTTCATGGAGCAATCCAAGATGGCCGCGAGTGGTCCCGCCCACAAGAAAATTGTGAAAAAAACGCATCTGCGCATGAGTCAGCCGGCGCAGCTCCATTCATTTGAACGAGAGACTTAAAAAATTCTCCGCGAGTAAACTAGAGTGAACCAAAAAAATTCACCCCCCTCAGTATTGACACACATGTGGAACGGAGCTTTGGGCCAAGAGCCAACTTTTGGTCCATCCTGTAAAGACGTTTTTGAGAGGTCTGCCAATGCTATATGTTAGCATTGGCTAATTCTACTTCTGGGTCCACCCCCATCGGCCCGGGGTGGTATTGCAAGCATGTCAGCGCACGTCATTTTGGCCACTTTTGAGCTGGGACCCGCCCCCACTGGTTTAGACTCGCCCAGGGCTGGACTGGGACAAAAAACGGCCTTACAATGGCCATGAGAGAAAACAGTTCGGACCTAATAAGCTCTGGAGGCTCGATGTCTCTGAATCAATTACGCATTTTGCGTGATAATTTTGAAGAAGAAGGGAAGAAAAAAAAATCATACTTGGTTTTTAAGAATATCCGGCAAAGACGTTAGAGAAAGAAAATATGTACAAAAACAATGCTCTCCCGCTTTTTCACCGAGAGGAGAAACACACAGGCGGCCACACACACTCACACACACACACATCCCACAGACCCCCACACCCCCACCTACCGCCCCCTTTTTCCCTACTAACAATAAGTGTGCACCAAACAAGTCTTTGGGTTTTTAAAAAAAATGAGCAGACTTATGTTGGCCCTTTTTCCTCTCCCCAGTCCTGGTCTGTCGGCGCTTTTCTCGCGCTTCTGGTCCTCTGCCTCAAAGCACCAGCCCTCGGCCCAACCACAGTCGGCGCCTCGCACAAGCTGGACCCCGCGAGAAGTGGGCCCAAACCAGGGAGCAGAAAGAAGAGTGGGGCGGGGAGGGAAGCAGATACACGCTCAGGAATGCAGAAGAAGATGCGGGGGAAGCAATATGGTGGAGAACACGAACAACTGCCTTGGAGGCAGAGAACAAACTGCTCCAAAACCCGTGACTGTTTCCCCACGGAAGGGAGGTAGCGTGAAACACAAACGCACCCGGCTGAAACCTCGTTGAAAGTGCCCCCGCACCGCAAACAGAAGAAGCCAAAAGTACCGGGCACGTTTGGTTATCACCAACCTCATGGACCACAGGCTACCGCTTGGGCTATGGGCATCCCAGCGGATTTGAGAAACTTCCACAGCCCGGCGGAAAGACTGTGTAGCTCGCCCATGTGTCGATAGTAAGGACTGTGTACCGGCAGGAGGCGTTACAGCAGAGGGGAACGCTCACACGGTGGCCAGAGGACGGCCGAGGCGGGCACGGAGGAAACACGAGCTGCGACTGACCAAACCAGGGTTTTCCATTCGTCACCAAAGCGATCCGTCACGTAAGTGTGAACAACAACAATTGCAATTGGCACTTTTAGGAATAATTCATGATGAATTCCAGTAATATACGCTAACAATTTCTGTGGTGGTAAAATTAAAATTCTGGATGGCTCCGGGGGGCAAAAATTCTGTTGCTAAAAGTGACAGCCTTTCTGTCTCCCCTAAATGAGTGGCGCTTCATATTTCATTCGCAGCGTGGGGAGGAGACGGGACTAAGAGCAATTTACGTCAACGCTAACGTGTTGTGCTTCTCAGGGCAACCAGCCTAAACATTCTTTTTCTCTATTCCCCATTTGTGCCCCGGTTAATCATACTAGGCCGAGACCTTATGTGCAGGACTCAATTAAAAATAGATAAATAAAAGGACGGCACCGGTCCCAAAAGTTAACTACCACTGGAACTTGACACCAATACCCTGAGATTGCTAAGTTATTAGCCACAACAAGTGGATAGTGTGACGCCGCACAAAAATTTTGGAGGTCAAAGCCACTCGGCGACACGACCTATAAGCTGCTCTCCTCCGGTTCGTTTCCCCGACAATAACTTGGAGTTTGAAAATTCATGAGGTGTAGTGAGATAGGCTACCGGAGTAGTTTATTGCTGGATAGGCCCCCCTACTGTGCTTACATTAATGAGCAACAAAAACATTATATTGTGAAAACAGGTGAAGTATTAACGTTTGAGGACTATTTACAATTTTTAATGAATCCGACCTGGCTTTATTGAAAAAGAAAAAATAAGGAAAATAAACATTTTAAGGTGACAAGGAGCTCATTAGAGATATAGGGACACATATCTGTGTTAAGCCCGAAGTATAGATCCACGTGGGGTTAAACCACTAAAGTTGGAAATGATCCTTTTAGGAAAACTCTTTTAAAGCTCTGCAGGCTCTGCAAGTCTTGCAACAATAGAAATAGCTCATGAAGGACAATTGGAATTGGACTTGGAAAAATATAACAAAGTTAAAAAATTACAGGCCTTCTGTGTTGATATATGTTTGTGTGTGTTTAATAGATGGTGGGTGTTATATGTTTTGGTGTTCTGTTATTTATTGTTTGTGA